TTAAATAGGTGAACTGTGTAGTATAAGAAGTATATCTAAAAAAAAAACTGGAATGGATAGCCACAAATTTCCAAACATCTGTGAAATGAAACATGAAAAACAATGACAGACCATAAAAAGTAACTTGGAGTAAAAACGCAAAGTTAAAAAACAGAAGAAAAATCACGTAAAAAGAACACTTTATCAGTTCCAAGATGGGGTCAAAAGACTGTTAAGAAATCTAAATTCGGTCATGCAGTAGGTGACGCATTGACCTCGGAATGTGTATTCTGGTCATATTCTCCCTTTGATGCAGGACCTTTGAGGTAAGGCATCTAAAATAGTTCAAAATTCTACCAATCTTGTAAATTTTTTAAGGTTATGTACATCTTTGTTACTCAAATAAATTCCTCCCTTGCTCTTAATCAGTAATAACAATAATATGCCAGACTCACTGATTTCTGAGCTGACCCCAAATGACTGTGAGGTCATTCTGCTCCCCTTATAGGATTTAGGCAATCACTATTGCACAGGACTCCTAGACCAGCGGAAGGCTTTCACTAAATGATTATGTAATTCTCCTCCCCATTCACAACTTTTGTCTTTAAAATCACCCTGAAATCTTTAAGGCCTTAGTGCAGATTACCCAGGGCTGTTTGGATATTGTGGTGTCTATGTGATCATCATAACTTTGGCCCAAATCTTTTGTTTTAAAAATAAATAAATAAGGCATGGTAGTGTGAATGGCAACACACCCATCTGCAGAACTGGAAGCCACATACCTTATCACAGGTTCAGATCCCAAGTTGACTTGAAACACACCAGGTACACATACCCCAAATCTTCCTACCCCTAGTTATAAGGCTCCAGTAAGGAGATTGTGGCATCCTGAAACCCTGATAGGGTAACTATCTCTCTCTCTCTTTCAATAAAATAAACTTTCAAGTATTTTTAAAATAAAATATCTGTAAGGGTATTAAGTCTATTGTCAGTGAATGTTACATATGATTTATACAAATGAGAACATATATTTATAGACAAATTATGTAATATAATCATCCTGTCCTAATATACCAAGAGTAACAAGAGATTCAAGTCTGAAGTAGAATGTAGAGAAGTGTATTGTTATAGAACTCCACAGCTAAGTCTGGTATGCATCCCCAGTTGAGGGCAACTGAACCAAAAGATACCACATTAAAACCAAAGATTAAGATGTGGTGGGACCAGCAGTTAGCATAATGGCTATGTCGCTGGCGTCCCATGTAGTCGACGGCGGTTCGTGTCCCAGACCTGGTGGCTTAAAAAACTCATGCCGGGCGCATGTGTGTGTGTGCCCAAGATCTCGAGAGGAGAATGGAGGAGAAGGGATTGCAGCATGGCCATCCCCCCTGGGGGATGATTTCTTGCTTTCTGTCTCTCTGTCTCTCTCTGTCTGTCTGGCAAGTATATGTGCCCTATACCAAAAGCCTCTCCAAAAAAAAAACAAAAGCCCTCCCAAAAAAAAAAAAAAAGATTAAGATGTGGTCAAGTAAAATTATAAATAATACAGTCATTGTCTAGTATTGGGTCCTCAGGTCAAACACTACTAGGATTCTGATATAGAAAAAAATGGACACAACTACTTCATAGGGTTTTTTTTTCTACCTTGTTTGTTTATTTATTTATTTATTTATTTATTTTACTTTCATTCACTGAGCATCATCACAACATATAAAGTGTCATTTCCCATCCAGAATACACTGTATAGTGGCTTAATCACATGTTATCATCAACAAATAATTTTCCATTTCTTATTTCATATACACATATTTTCCCCCTATTTCGTACCCTTTGCCATTTCCCACCCTCCTTCCACACTGCTTCTGGTATCTACAGTTGCTTTCCATTCCTTCCCCCACACACACTTTTTTTTTGTTTTTGAGAGGTTTTTGCTATAGGGCACGTGCGCTCACCAGAAAGACAGAGAGAGACAAAGAGACAGAAAGCAAGAAATCAGCCCCCAGTGGGGATGGCCATGCTGCAATCCCTTCTCCTCCATTCTCTCAGGATCTTGGGCACACACGCACATGTGCCCAGCATGAGTTTAAGCCACTGGGTCTGGGACTTGAACAGCAGTTGACTACATGGGAGTCCAGCAACATAGCCATTAAGCTAATTGCTGGTCTCCACACACATTTTATTGATTCACAAAATATATTAATTAATTTAACTACTTTCAAAAGCAAGTTCAGCTGACATATGTATATCTGTGAACACACGTCTGACTTTAGGCATGAAACTCTGAGTAGAATGAATATACTATAAAGTAGTACCTAACTGATGCTATATAGCTTATTACAGTCATTAAATAGGTATTTTTAAATATTTTTTTAATTTCAAGAAAAGCAGTTTTGACTTTAATAAATCAAAATAAAAAAATGTTAAGAGAGCTTTGCTTAAAACTTAAAGCCAAGAAACAGGTTAGGATTCTGATCAAATAGTAGGTACATGAACCTATCAGCAGCTCAAGACAAGACAAAAATCCTTAAATCTAGGAAACAAAGCATAGAAGAATATCAGTAATGGTTTAGTGATAAATCATAAGATTCTTTTTTACCAGTTCAGTCTCATGTACTTAATCTTTTCTCTTCTGTTGTGGTCTGACCTTTCTGTTTTGGAGGAGTCCGACCCAGTGGGGCCCCAGGATCTGTTTGAGCCTCCAACCTTTGAGCACAGCTTTGGTCAGCTCAGTACGGTGGCAAGGCCGCTGCTGTACGCTTCCAGACCTACGAGCAAAGCTTGGGTCGACTCAGCATGTTGGGAAGGCCGCTTGCCGTATGCTCTGAAGACCGCGGAAGCCTTGCTGGGAAGTGACCCCCCCTCTGACTCCCTGATATACTACTATAAAAGAATTACATAGCTCTCTCATACATCTTGAGTATGTGATAAGATTTCCCGAAAGTCCTCCAACCGCTCCCCTTTGCCCTAACCACCTACTGTTAATCACAATGCTTCATTCCTGTGGTCACAATGGAGGGTGTGCTGAAGTTCTATCTAGGCAGAAATCTTTTTGACCTTTGGAAGACCCTTCAAGACACATTTAACATGAGCTTAAAAATAACCTTTTCTTTACATAAAATAGGATTAGGCCGAAACTGGCCAAGGACACCTCTGCCCTCACCAAGTGAACAATAGGTTCACCCATTTAGAATAGATAGATATATTAGGATTCCTTGAATTAAGTTTTAGATCCCTATAAAACTATATAGGTATCATTCTTTATTGAGATCCATAAGAACTAATATACTTGAGATTTTCTTTTCTTAGCATCATACTCAGTAATCACAAGATGGCTGCCGCCGAGCACTGGCTGATAATTAACTCTGCTTGCTGGAGACTGTTTCCCGAAACTGCATTCCTTGAAGTTCCCAAAAACCTGCCTACATCAATCAAACAATTGCTAAACTATAATAGACCCACCCTTAATCCAACCCTAAATGAAATCTATGTTCCCTATTGTTAAAACTTCATGAACTGATCATTAGAACACATAGTCCCTCACCCACTTACTTGCATGTATCACATTTTCAATAAAAAGGCATGATGATTCCTAGCAGTTGTCACTCTACAGAGAGCGATCTCTGAGGGTGTCCTACTGAGGACATGCATGAAAAAGGCACCGAGGCCTCAGTCTTTCCTTCCTGCACCGCCTCCTTCAAGATAACCCACCCCCGCCGAGGCTGGACCCTGGCACTGTTTAAATTCTGGAAGATAAGATTCAACTACAGACGTGTCTCTACCATTAAGTTGGCCATTTTCTTAGTTGTTTTTGAACTCTTATTTCTGTGTGTCTGTATTTAGTTTTCCTGGGATAGCACTCCCTTCATGAGAGCAAGGAAAGAATGGGAAAATATATTCAAAGTGTTAAGTGAAAAACAATTTCAACCAAGACTACTGTCCCTGTCAAGATTATCCTTCACATGGTAAGAAAAGAGAACATCATCAGATAAACAAAACCCAAAAGAATTTACCAACAGCACACCAGTTCTCCAAGAAGTTCTGAAGGGAGTGCTAATTCAGAGTTTTAATCAGTGTTATTCCCAAGGACTAAAATACATTATGGATAATAAAGATATTAACAAATACCAGAGATTTCCCATAAAGCATACAATGTCTGACAAATTTATATTAGTAACATTTTGTCTATATGAAGTAAACCTACAAATGACTGAATATCTCTTCTGATTTGGCAATTTTCCCATATAATTTATCCAAAATTCTAGTTTTTTTTCTAATTTCTCTCTTTTTATAATGCAAAAGAAACATCTATAATTTTCTAGAGGCTATCTTTAAAATCTCAAAGATAGTTTAAGGTAGAAAAGATAGCTTGAAAACTTTGTTTAAACTTTTCTATATTAAGATCCAATTTTTGGATGGCATTATTTTTAATTGCCAGAGGAAATGTAAACAGTTGGTTAAGATAGAAAATATACCATAAGTGTTTTAAAAACATTGCTTGAGGGACCAGCAGTTAGTATAATGGCTATGTCGCTAGACTCCCACGTAGTTGACCACTGTTCGAGTCCTGGACCCAGTGGCTTAAACTCATGCCAGGCGTGTGTGCGTGTGTGCCCCAAGATCCCAAGAGGAGAATGGAGGAGAAGGGATTGTGGCGTGGTTGTCCCCCCTGAGGAGTGATTTCTTGCACTCTGTCTCTCTGTCTCTCTCTGTCTTTCTGGCAAGCGCATGCGCCCTATAGCAAAAACCTCTCGAAAAAATAAAAACATAGCTTGATTATCTATTTAATTGTAGAGACAATAACACATCAAAGTAAACAAATAAATAAGCATAAATGATATCAAGATTGGAAAAAAAAAAAAAAAAAACCTTAGCTCTTGCTTCTTCTCCCCCCAAATAATGAAAGACTCAGGTAAGAGGAGACTGGGAAGATTGGGTCAGGAGGGCAAAAACCAAGAGCTGTTTGGGATGGAGTAAAGGAAAAGACAGATGATCACAGGGCTTGCGGTCTGGGCAGTGACCCAGCATGATAAGGACGTGAGGTTCGCCGGGATTTACTGGATGCAAATTTCCAAATGGAACTTGGGTCAAGTTGCTCTGACATGAAACTGCACTGTGGAATCAGGGTGTCAGATATTTGAAGATCTGGATAGTTGGATGCAACTCAGAGCATTCCTGAAATAGACCAGAGTTTAAAGAGGCTGTGTTATTATAAAACTTAATGTATTGGTATGAAAAAAAATTAATTCACAATTTTCTATGCGTTTTTCTCTTTAAAACTATTTAAATCTGTTTTCAGAAGAAGCCACGGGCCTTCAGGATAAGGTTCCACATGGCTACTGTGAACTAGATTTTTAAGGGAATGAAGACTTTCTACTAATAATTCAGCCTCCAACAAAAGAGCTAGCGGTAGGGAGCCCCCCTCTGCGCCCCCAGCCTTCTCTCTCGGTCTCTCAGTTCCTGTCTCTCCCTGCTTCTATCTTCCCTTTTTTTTTTGGTAATATTTCCTTTTTACTCCTTTTTTTTTTTAAAAAGAGGCCCAGTTTTTCTCTGGCCCTTAGCTCCGCCTTCCTTCTTGTTAATTTTCGCTCTGCTCCTCCCATCCAGGCAGAAGAAGCCACGGGCCTTGTCCTAATTTACACTATTTTTTTTCAAGAATACATATTTATTTTTCTATCAATTTCTAAGGATTTGTTTATCTCTTTGTTCTATTTTTTTCCTGTTCTAATTAAGTTAAATATGTAATGAAAGTGAGAAAAAATTTTCTACTTGAAGGATCAGCAGGTGACATAGTGGTTAAGGTGTTGTACTCCTACATGGCCAACCACAGTTAAGAGTCCTGAACCCAGTGGTGGCTTGAAAATCACACTGGGCACACATGCATGACTGCCCAAAATCCCAAGAGGAGAATAGAGGAGTAGGGATTGTGGCATGGTCATCCCCCCTGGGTGGGGTGATTTCTCACTTTCTCTCTCTTTCTCTGTCTCTCCAGTGAATGCATGCACCCTATGGCAAAAAGAATTTCTCTAAAAGTAAAAATTCCTACTTGAAGAATACTCAAAGAAAAGAAAATATTATGTTGTCAGAAAAGTCATGATATATTTATTCTATGTAAAAATGTGTCATGAATTGGGACCAGCAGTTAGCATAATGGCTATGTTGCTGGACTCCCATGTAGTCAACCACAGTTTGAGTCCTGGACCTGGTTGCTTAATCTCATGCCGGGTGCGTTTGTGCCCCAAGATCCTGAGAGGAGAATGGAGGAGAAGGGATTGCGGCGTGGCCATCCCCCCGGGGGAGGGGCGATTTCTTGCTTTCTGTCTCTCTGTCTCTCTCTGTCTTTCTGGCGAGTGCACACGCCCTATAGCAAAAACCTCTCCAAATAAAGAATAAAAAATGTGTCATGACTTTTATGACAACCCAATAAAAATTTTCAGACTACAAAGATACTTTCTGAAGTATCAACCTGACAATTTTAAATAGAAAAATTGTTGTGATTTGGGCTCTTAAACTTGGCAAACACGGCTGCAACAATACCCTGACAAAATATCAAAAACAAAGTGAAAAAAATTCATACCAGGACGTTTTCACAGATTAGGATATTTGGCACTATATGTTTGGAACATCTACACAACTGACTGAATTCTTTATCTGTATATTTTGACATTATGACTCTAATAGTTTTGAAATCTTCTTTTTTCCAATGCTGATTAGTACAGAACACACACATGCACACACACACACACAGACACACAATATTTCATATGTGAAAGGTAATGGGGGCTGTAATCTCAACTCATCTCTTTTCCTACTGACACCATTGGTATGATCTGAATGTGTTGGAAAAAGACATTCCATGCAACCAAGAACCAGAAAAGGGCTGGAGTTGCAATACTGATCTCAGACAAAATAGACTTTAAGACAAAAACTGTGAGAAAAGACAAAGAAGGGCATGACATAGTAGTAGAAGGGCTAATTCATGAAGAAGATAGAACACTTAGAAACATCTGTGCACCCAACGTAGGAGCGCCCAGATATGTAAAGGAAAGACTGCTAGTGAAGACTTGCTGAGTGAAGCAAGCAAGGTTATGAAGGAGAGACATTTTATGTCTCCACTTAACATATACCAACTATCTACACTGTATGGCAAAACTGAAAGACTAGAGGATATAAAAGCATGAAAATGGTGAGGGACACTGAAGACAGTGTGGTAAGATGGTGGGAGAAGGGGGAGAATATGAGGAAAGAAATTAAGAAGAAAAATGGAGAGGCAAGACATTTATAGGACACAGAAATAGATTATTATCTGTTGATGATAATGCATATAGTACTCTGAACTGAACCGGTGTGAAGGGTATTCATGTTGGGGAAATTCACTTTTCAAGCTAAGTGATGTATATTGATTGAATGTATAAAATTAAATTAAATTTAAAATTTTTTTAAAGTTAATTACCTTGTCTTAATTGTGTTTGTGTCTTAGTGTTTCATGGAGGGTAGAATTTGAGAGCTATGAAATTAAATATTTGACTGAGAAAATGCCTAAGCAAAGTGTTGAGAATGTAGCTTGGATTATCTTCATTGCTTTTTGTAAAATGTGAGAGGAGAGAAATTACTTAAAGACAGAATTATTAATCAAAAGAGAAGCTGAACCAAGACCAGCAGATGGCATAATGGTTAAATTGCTGGACTCTCACATAGTCGACCGTGGTTCAGGTCCTGGACCCAACAGCTTAAACTCACAACTTAAACTCACACTGGGTGGCATGTGCATGTGTACTCAAGATCTCAAGAGGAGAATGGAGCAGAAGGGTTGCAGTATGGCCATTCCCCCTGGGGAGTGATTTTTTGCTTTTTGTCTCTCTCTTTTTATCTCTCTGTCTCTCTCGTGTCTTTCTGGTGCGCGCACACTAGCTATAGCAAAAACCTCTCCAAAAAAAAAAAAGGAAAAATAAAAAGAGAGAGAAGCAGAACTAGAACATTTTTAGCTTATCCATATTGAACATAATGCAAGAGCCTATCCAGGAGAGAACATGGGGTGTGACCAAATAGCCATATTATAAGATTAGTTAGCCATCTAAATGGAAAGCAGGTCCAATTGCTCAAAACACAGAAGAATGACCCTGAAGACAATTCAGAATTCATCAGAACTGCTCTTCCCATCACAAACTCAGAGAATAAGCACCCTAGTAAGTAAGGGACCACCATATGGTGGGCAATGCCAAATGAAGCTTTAGGACCAGGGCTGCTACTGAGATCCCAGGCTGCTAGAACCTCTCACTAGTTAGTCTAGTCCCAAGGATTCTTAGGCATGTGACCCAAGGCACAGAACCACTGAGGAGCTAGGGCCATGTTGGTGGGGGGACGTGGGGGCTTCCCAAAGCTATGGGACAAGACCACAGCTCTGGTGAGCCCAAAAGACAGAGCATGAGTCAAAGAATATTATTCTTGAGTCTTAAAGTTTTGGACTTTAGAACCTGTCACCCTTTCTTCTTTTCTATCTCATTTTGGAATGGGAATGTCTATCCTACACCCATTTTCTATCTACCATTGCTTTTTGCAAGAGCATAACATGTTTGATCTCACAGGTTGGTAAGCGAAGAGTAATTTGCCTCATTATCTCATACCTTGAGTCTCATCCATATCTCATATGGGATATTTATATGACACTTTGGACTTGAATATTTTTGTGCAGATGCTAGAATGAGTTAAAACTTTTGAAAGTATTGAGAAAGAATGAATGTATTTCAAGTGTAAGAAAGACATGAATTTCAAAGAACTAGAAGAAGAATGTTGTGGCCTGATGTGTATATGCCCCCCAAATTCATATATTGAAATCCTAATCCCTAGGTGATGGTATTAGGAGGTGGGGACTTTAGGAGATACTTAGGTTAAGGAGGGTGGATTCATCATAAATGGAATTAACGTCCTTATGAAAGACACCCTGGAGAGGTCTGTTGTCCCCTTTCATGTAAGGACATTGTGAAAAGATGCCTGTCTTAAGACATAGGACCTTACCACACACTGAGTCTACTGGTGCCTTTTCAGCCTTCGGGACTATGAGAAATAAACTTCTGTTGTTTATAAACCATTCAGTTTATCATATGTTATTATAGCAGCCGAAACAGATAAAGACAACTATTTTACTATCTTTTTCACAATCTAGGCAGACAGTAGATAATACAATTTCACATTTTCTGAATGAAAAAATACCTAAATTATACCATTTTCTCCTCATGCCTCCTCCACCTTCTCACTTTAATTGTTCCAAAGATTCTATCATCTCCAGAGACCTAGACTATCCCAAATGTAAAATGTTTTTCTATAATAAAAAAAAGAGATTTTTGTGATTATGACAGAGAATGTTAGCTTAGAAAGAGAATATAATAGGATTTTTCTGGAAGAGTTCCCAAGATCTCTTTCCATTCTATGACATGAACATGAGTCTGCACTTCAGGCCTCCTTCAGAGCACTTCGTCAAGTGGGTACTCAGTCAGTCACAGTTTAGTGAACCCTTTTTGTTAAGTCTGCTGAAAATTTACAATCCAGCAGAGAGTCAGGAGTAAAAACGTACAAAGTTCTGTGATGGACTGTAAGCTTTGCAGGGCTGGCAGGTGGCGTGGTGGTTAAGGATGCTGGACTCCCACATGGCTGACCATGCTTTGAGTCCTGGACCTGTCAGCTTGCTTTCTCACCTTGTCTTTCTATTTCATTCTGTCCCTCTCTGGTCAAATTTAAATAAATAAAAATGAATAGATGAATAAAAAAAATAAATAATTTTTTAAAAAGAATATAAGCTTTGAATTTTCAAAGAAGGTGAAAAGCACTGAAAAGATTTTAGGAAAGGCACATGTAGAAGGGAGTTTTGAGTCAGACTTTGAAGGATGGCCAGGATTTGATTATGTGGAAGAGAGAAAAGGGAGTATTCTGTAACATAATCTAAAGAGGCATGGAAGAAGTTTCTTTATGAGCTTGGCTGAAGAAATATGTTGCGTGGTCAAATTATAGACTGAAAGAATGGAAGTTGTTGAAAGTCAAGTTAGAACATCGCATCCTGATGCAGGGGGATGGGAAACAC